AAAACCTTAAGACGTTTTCAAGAAACGGGGTTTATTATCGTTCCTACCCGTAAAATTTATCGCTTTTTTTGATTCCAGTATAAAAAATAGAGGTTCCCATATGAAAAAATAAGGTTGACTTTAAAAAACCTTGAAAATGAGTTTCAAGGTCAAATCAGAGGTCACCGTTGGGTTCCTCGTTGAAAGTTACATAGGGTATGACATTTGTTTCATGACTAACCTCTTGCGGTTTTCCGAATTTTTCGGGGTTTCCATACTTTTTCCTCACCCTGTATGTACTATGGTCAATAATACTAATATTAATAATAATAATAATAATAATAATAATAATTTCAAAGTGCAATAACTCAGTGATTGCTCTATCAAGAACAATTTGATTATGCAGTTTGATTTTTTCTCTATCGTCTACTACTACATATGGCATTTACCATTAAATTTTATTCAAGGTAATATTAATGTGACGAAACCAAACGTTGCGGTTGTTCTTGTCAGTATTTTTCTCCACTTCCTCTTCTCTCGCCAAGATATAGTGGCCAACGTTGGGCGCATTTTGAATGCGCCTAATGCATGGCCTTTGTTTTTCAGCCGACGAAGATCTCCAAACGAGGCCGAGCCAGCACGAAGCCGCTGGAGTGGACGACTTTAAGTGTGAGAAAAAGAGAGAGAGAGGGGCTTGCGTACCCCACGCAGGTTTAGGCAGGCTCATGACGGGTAACCAATTAGCGCCTTAGTCGCACGCCGCTTAATAAGTAGTTTGATTGGGAAGAAAGAAAGAAAAGTTGTATGTATTTATTAATTTCAGCTTACATAGCCCAGAAATAGACTTGGTTGAGTTATACATTTTTCTTATTCCTATAAATATTTATATAAATAAATAGATATTTTATCGCTACATTTTCACATTTATAAATTTATTTTATTACATTTTTCGATAATTTTTGCTTAATACTAGTACAACAAAATTTTATTAGTTATTGTAATCTGTCTATTGGATATTTTAAATCATCTCTTATGTTTTATCTTTTATGATACATATTTTTACCTATTTTTACATATTTTTACATATATTTATCTATTTTAATATTTTTTTTTTCTGTTTTACATATTTTTGCATATTTTTGCATATTTTTACATATTCTTACATATTCTTACATTTTAACATATATTTACATATTTTTACATATTTGTACACGTTCCTACATATTTCTACATATTTCTTCATACTTCACATATATTTCCCGTATATTACATAGATATTTATACATTTTTAAATATTTTACATGTCATTTCTACATATTTTGCTTTTGTTGCAAACAGGCATTACATTATCCTAACATTTGTGCGATTTTTTATTTGTTTTCTAAATTTATACCTCGTTTATACCTGCATTCTTTTTCCAACTTTCTAATCCATTTTACTACCACATCGCTATTTTTTCCTTCCCAGATTTTTTCCATATCTTTAAATTCAATTTTTCGTGTATCTATTTCCCAATTTTTTGTTACCTCGCAATTTTCGACTAGGTGTTTTAGTGTGCTTTTTTCTTTTCCACACAGGTCACATATTTTTTTCTCTTCGGTCTCCCAGTACTTATTAGCATTTTCTAAATTTCCACATCTTAGTCTTGCAATGTCTTTGTAGTTTCTGTATCCTTTAGTCAAGTATTCTGGTTTGCCACTAATCATTATCTCTTTATACCTTTCATTGTATCTCGACCTATATATTTTATTAGTTATGGATTGCCCTTGTATATTTATCTCTCTCTTTAGAATCTCTTCGTGTACTTCTTCTTGACTTGTCATGCTTTCTATTGCTATTGTACTTAATCCTATGCTATTTAAATAATTTTCTTTTTCTTTCATATATTCGTCTTCTAGTCCGCTTTCTCTTTTTTCGTTCCAGCACATTTTTATTAGTCTGTTTTCCTCTTTTTTTCTTATTCTTGTTTCAAATTTCAGTGCCCTAATGGCAAACCTTCCCTTCATTTTTTCACTATTGCTTTCTCTGTAGATCAAGTATCTCGCCGTGCAAAAATCTAAGCCTAATGTCCATCTTCAATATTTCAACAGTATTTCTTCTAATTCTTTTCTCTCTTGCCATCCCCAAATTTCCACCCCATATTCCATTACGCTTCTTACTAAATAATTAAATAACAGCGTTCTCCTATTAATGTCGTTTTTGAATGCTCTTTCTCCTAATCCCCATACTTCTTTAACTGCTGCCATACCCTTCTTTTTTAGTTCTTTTATGTGATCTCTGTAGTTTCCTTCTGAGTTGAATATAAAACCTAGGTACTTGAATTTCTTAACCTCTTCCATGTCACTTCCTTCATATTTCCAGCTTTCTTTTTTTTCATTTGTCTTTTTGTTAAAGACTAAAATTTTGCTTTTCTCTGTACTTAATATCAAGTCTCTTATTTTCAAAACCCTTTTAAGCGTGTCTATCATATCCAAAAGTGCTTCCCTATTCAAGGCTAATAATACTAAATCATCAGCATAATCTAGACTCCAGATCCTAATATTACCTATTTTTATTCCCCCTATGTTTCTTTTTCTAAATTCATTTTCAAGTTCACTTATGTATAGACAAAATAATATTGGGCTCAACACACAACCTTGTCTCAGCCCAAGACCTATCCAAAGGTCTTCGGTAAAGCCTTTATCAGTTCTAATTCTAGCTTTGGTTTCTTCGTACATTCCCTTCAGCCTTTCGATCAGATATTGACTAATTCCTATTTTTTCTAAAATTTCCCATAGCTTTTTCCTATTAATCGTATCGAAAGCCTTCTTTAGATCTATGAATAAGGCGTATAACTTTTGTTTTTTCTTTTTCGATCTCCTAATTAGATGGTCTAATACAAATATGTTGTCTAAGGTCGATCTTGCTTTCCTGAATCCGGCTTGACATTCTGGTAATAATTTTTTTCCTTCTACTTCCTCAACAAGTCTTTTCCTAATTACTTCTGCGTATAATTTATACGCTGTCGGTAACAAGGTTAATCCTCTGTAGTTATTGGTATCATTGGCATCACCGTTCTTATATATGGTAACTATAACTCCCGTTTTCCAATCTTCCGGTATCTCTTCCCCGTCCCAGATCTTTCCGATTATCGCTACTAATTTGTTTATTATTTCATCACTCCCGTGTATCCATACCTCTTGTGGTATATCGTCCCATCCCGGTGCCTTTTTTTTCTTTAAGTTTTTCCATGCCAGTTTTATTTCTGTAGCCGTGATTCTTTCCCTTTCAGTAATTTCAGATTCTAAAATTCGCTTTTCACCTAAAATTCTGTTGTTAGACCCTTTTAAAAGCTTTTCAAAATGATGTTTCCATTGTTCTAATGTAATTTCGTTTTTACCCATACCCTTTCTATTCTTCTTCCTAAATTTACCTATGTATTCCCATACTTGACCTTCTCTTTTCAAGTTTTTCAGTTCGTTTAATTGCTCATCCTTCCATTCAAGTTCTCTTTCCTTGCATTTTAATTTCCAGAGTTTCCTTGCCTCTAGATAATTTTCTTTTTCTACTTTACCTAATTTCCATTTTCCATATTCTCTTTTTGCTTTGTTTTTTAGTTTTGAACAGTCTTTATTCCACCACGTTTTATAACCTAGTTTTCTTTTTTTTATAATCTTTTTTTCTACCTTTGTCCATGATTTTTCAATAATTTCTTTAGTATCTTTCCATCTAGTTTCAACACTATCCTCCTTTTTTTCTTCTATTTGATTGCACAGCTCCCTTGATTTAGTTTTAAAATATGCAATTGTCTCGTCGTTCCAAATAATAACTTTTTTTGTTGCTTCAGGTTCTCTTTCTGTTTTTTGGCTTTTTTCTAATATATTTTCTCCTTTTATTTCTAAAATTAGTGGTAAGTGATCTGATTCTACACGTTCTTGGATTTCAAAATTTATATCCTTTTCCCATATTTCATCATTGACTAATATATAATCAATTACAGTGCATCCCCTTGTGCCTATAAATGTGAATTCTCCTTCTCTGTCGCCTTCTGTATTTCCATTTAAAATTTTCCATCCCTTGTTTTCACTAAGGTCAATCAATTTTTCCCAGTTATTACTACACTTTTTATCCTTGCTTTTTCGGTGTACGTATTCCCCCCCTCTATCAAAGTCTAAGTATTTTCCCTCTTCACCTATCCTTATATTAAAATCTCCTCCTATAACTACTTTTTCTCTTTCTTTGTGTTCGTATTCGTCAAGTTTACCTAGAATTTTTTCAGTGTTTTGCGAGTTATAAACTGACCATATTACGTATTTGTCTTTTTTACCTATAATCTCTGTTTTTACTAGCCCTTCTTCTACTTCTTCAATTTTTATGCATTCTTTTTTTGCCCAGTTTTTCTTTATTCCTATAATGAAACCTCCAGCGGCCCTTCCTTTTTTATGTTTTTTTCTCGCATCTATTATTTCCCATTCAAAGTTTTCCGGGAGTATCGATTTTACCTTTTCTGCATTTTTATTTTCAATCCAGGTTTCCGTCAGGCTCACAAAATCATTTTCATCTATGTACCTCCAGAAATCCATGTCTTTACTAAATATCCCTGCCACGTTCCAAAACATTAACTTTTTCCTATTTTTCTGTATTTCTTGTTTTTCATTTTGGCGTACTGTCATTTTTCCTCTATTTATAGTCTCTTTTGTCCTAAGTTTCTCTAGCTTTTTCATCGTGCTATTTGGTTTGTCGTTTGTTTTGTTTTTCTTCTCTGCAAAATATGATTTGCTTTTTACTATATACTCATCCCTACTTATTTTATCTGCGAACCATTTCCGGGCTGTTCGAAATTTTCCCTGTTTTCACAGCTATCTTGCTCTTCTATCTCTTGATCATTTTCTTTCCTAACTTTTTCTAATCTATTCATCTCTTTTTTTAATTCTTCGTATTCTATTTTTCTAATTTTTTCTTTCTCATTCCATTTTATCCATTGTCCCTCTACATTGATTCTACCTATTCCAATTCTAACATTGAGACCCTTACCTTTTTTTTCATATACCCATTTTTTTTATTTCTTCTTGCTTCTTCCTTTCCTCATACGTCAGATCGTTTTCTATATATATAGTGGTGCCCTTTAATTTACTTTTATTCCTCATAATATTTTTTTTTACATTTTCATTTTCCAATTTAACTATAATCACTCTTTCTTTCCCACCGCTCACCCTTGCATTGACAGCTTTCACTGAGGTTCCCAGCTTGAAGCTTAAAAATTTTTCCACCCACCCTTTATAGTCGCCTTTTGATTCAGTGTTCTCGTTTTTTTCTATCGCTTCTATATGTTGATTAGCTCCCTTTATAACAATATTGCATGCTCTTTCTAATTTATCCTTGTCATACATCATTTTTTTCATTTTCAACACTTCCCTATTAGTAAAACGTTCCGAGTTATTACTTACCCAGCTAGTCGCCCCACTGGTAGCGCTCACGCCGCTCGCCAAACTTCGTCTGCTCATGTGGCTTCTTCCGCTTTTCACACTCCACGTCAAACCTTTGTCCTCGTCTGTGCTGCCATCAGTCGGGTCGCCTTCGTACTGCGATTCTTCCATCTCCGTCTCCCTTGCTGTTTCCACCGCCAGCGCCGCGTCTAATCTATTCTTAACCTCTAATATAAGTTCTTCCAGATTTCCCATTTTCGCTTCCATTTCCTTTGATTTGTCAATCAGCTCTTTAATATTCTCTTCTTGTTCCTTATATTTCTTTTTCCATTCACTTTTCTCCTCTTCCGTTTTTTTACTTTCTGCCTTCAATTTTTCCCTTAATTTCCTATTTTCTTCTTTCACTCCTTCCAAATCATAATACAATTTATCCAAATCCGGTTCTTTGAACGTCACTTTCTTCGTACTTCTCAATTTGCCGTCAAGCGTTTGTTGGCCTCCGCTTAGCGATGTCTTCGAAGCGCCTTTTCCTCCCATAGCTTTCCTATCCACGGGAAATCTAACCTCCAAGAATCTCTCCACACCAAAATCGTTTATTTTGCACTTTTTCCCAGGTTTTCACCCAAACTTTATTAACTACGTCGTTCCTCGCTCCTTCACGCTTCTTTAGCTCACTATTAAATTACTTTCCAAAAAGAATTACTAGCTCAAATTCGTACAGATGTTCAGAGTCGCTCAAGGCACGTGCGCACGCTCTCGCGTCATCCAACCAACCGAAAGAAAAGTTGTAGGAAGCTGTAGATTGCGGAAGCGAGTGGGAGACAGGCATAAGTTAGAGCGGAGGGTAGCGGGTAGAAGTTGGTTAGCAGAGTAGGCAGGTAGAAATCAGTCAGACGAGTACACATACGCCACCCCAAGGAGCTGAATCGAAAGCTACGGAATCAAAGGACTAGTTCCCTTTACCAACAACTATGCGAGATATGCTCTCGGAAAGAAGCCGGTCATGAGTTACCCAACGACAGCCAGCAACACCATCCGCAGGGTGCATCCAGGCCTCCCCAACTTCCCGCACCGTAAAGTTCAAGGCCGTTTCCTTTTATTCTTTCTCTCTCTCTCTCTTTGCCGGTATGGTGCATGGTATAAGAGTCAAGAGTAAGGTGGCAAGGTATTAACGCGCCGGCTACCTGTTGGTAATTACACACGGCCAGCGTAGTAATGTAAAGTAGCGACCCGTCAAAGCGATCCTTTGTCGGGCGGTTTCGTTTAACGTAATTAGGCTAAGTCGATTTATCGCCAAGGCGGTTACCTGCCGGGCGACGCGTCATGTTGATCGTTTAAATTTTGTAAGTGCGGGCAATTTTAGTTTTGTAATAGTGTCGGCCTATATCGCCGATAAATCTATTGCTATTACTAATTATTTATAAAGGGGGAAGGCAAGGGAGGCGGTGTATTGCTCCTGACAAGGTAAAGAGAAAGGTAAACGCAATGATCATTCCTCTTATCTTGGTAAATCTGTTTATTACAATACGCTACCTTGAGCGTTAACAGTTCGGTCAATCTATCGCGCCTTATCTAACTATATTGACAATCAGAAGATGGCCGGCACGTTAGCGCCTTGCCACCTCGCTACCGATTCGACACAATCTAAATTATCTTAATAACTAAACTAGCTGTGCCGGCCCGTGATAGCCTGGCACAGCGCACAAGCCGCGAGTAGCCGTAAGATAAGAATTTAAGAGAAAGAGATTAGAGATTGACCTGACGATTGTCCTTTGATGGAGCGCCTTGCCGATGATGGTGATAGTGTCTGACTGCAGGCAAATGTGTGGTTGGGAGGGCTCGCTGAGATGATAGGTTGGATCCGAGCCGATACTAATGCCGTCTAGATTTCCTCGCCTTTCTTACTGACTGCAGGGGGTCCGTGCACCTCTCTCTGCTATGGGCAACTTTTTACTGCCCGCCGCGAGTATGCTTCCGAGTGCGTGAGAGACTGCTTCTCACGCTCTCCCCACTCACTTGCCTAATCGGCGGCACACGACACCGTCAAGCGCGGCCAGTGTCACGCGCCTGCCTGCACTAGTCGCGTTCTTTTCTTTCTCTCTTTTCTCTCTCTTTCTCTCACTCTCTCTCTTTCTCTCTTACAAGAGCGCATGTTACTACGCGCTCTTGTCGACCAATGCCGCTGCCTCTCTCTGTCTCTCCTCTTCTTACTTGTTGCGGTAGCGATGCTGAAAACATAAAGGCTGGCATCAGGCATGTAAACTATGCGCCATAGGTCTGCCATGAGTCCATGCCGATAGTAGGGAGAGATAGGTGACACACGGTGCAGGTCAAATCCACCGGCACCGTTACAGTTTATTTATCTCTCCGTTCCTTTGTGTATTGCATGCGATAATAATTCAGTTGTATTCAATAGTGTCTAAGGTTTCGTATTATTTGTGTTAATAATTAGGTAGAACGATTTAATGGTTTTCTGAGACGCGATTGCAGTTTATTTCTTGACCCTTCCTTTTACCCTCCCCGATTGCTATGAACGAGTGCGCCTCGCTTGCCCGCCAAAAAATTAGTAACGTGAGATATCGTTACAATAATTTTTTCATAAGTGTTCACTTCTTGCGAACTGGTAGGTGCAGTTATGACAGCATTCAAATCATTCCTTGATATTGTAATGATAAGCTCATGTTTGAGATTTACTACGATTTTTCGATAATCTTCAGCAAATCCTAACAGTATACTGAAAGGGGCAGTAATGTCAAAGTAATCTGAAGCATTTGTAAGCACCATTTCTTTGTCGCTAGTCCAGCCAGTATTTTCGGCAATTAAACTTTGCCTTGAATTGAGTAATAACCAGTTCTGCGTAAGACTAGTTAAGCCAACATTTTTAGCTTTATCTATTTCAGTCACTTGACGTTAAACTCAAGGTGTAAGGACGTGTTTACACTTTGTTCTAATCGTTTAGTTAAACGTTACAAATCAAAGTGCATCAATTAAAATATATTAAAAATGAATATAAGTAAAAACAAATAAATAAGGTATTAAAAAATAATAACAATCAGTGGATATCAACAATAATTGACTCGAATTTAACAACTAAAACGGCTGAAATGGCCACCAAGGAGGTACACATTCCCTCCAATCTAACACAAAACTACACAAACTTAAACAAGTGGAACATGATTACCACCAAACGTCAGAAATCAAGCGCTGAAGCTATTATTAAGAAAAAACAGGTCAGAATGTGAGATTACTGGTCAAATAAATTTTATATTACACAACAAATTTTATATTCTTCAAAATTGTAACGGTGTAGGTTGGTCATGACCTGCACCGTGCGTCCCTTCTCTCTCTCCGACATCGGCAAGGGCTCATGGCGGGCAATTGGCGCACGTATGTTTCGTGCCTGATACCAGTCTTTTATTTCAGCATCGGTTTCTCTCTTCATCAAGAAACAAAGAGAGAGCAGCAGTATTAGTGGCCAGGAGCGTGCAACAACATGCGCTCTCGTCAGTCACCGAAAGTGAAAGAGAGAGAGAGAGAGAGAGAGAGAGAGACTGCAGCTATAGTGCGGCTAGGCGCGCGACACTGGCCACGCTTGGCGGTGCCGCGTGCCGCCGATTAGGCAAGTTGGTGGGGAGGGTGTGAGAAGCAGTCTCTCACGCACTATTGCTTCGTTTCTCGCGAGCAGTAAGGAAGTGACCCCGCGAGCGAGAGCATATCAGCTAACGCACCAGTACAGCATTCTCGAGAGCGGCCTTTGTCCACCAGTCACACCATATCTGAGGAAGTCACCAGCCGGCATAAAGAAGATCAACGCGTCAGCCCAGCGAACTTCGCCAATCAAACAGGTCATACTCTCTCCTCTCGTTTCTCTTCCTTAATCGGTTTTACTCTTTTTAGCTATTTGCGACTTGTGCGCTGTGCCAGGCTCTCGCGGGCCGGCACAACTAAACTAGTCGTTGAATTTCCTTTTTTTATGGTGTATCGAGTCGATGATGAGATGGTAAGGTGCTCACGTGCCGGTCATCTCATTTAGTTGGTAAGAAGTTATTGTGTATTAAGTTAAGGTTTCATAGATTGTTCTGTTCGTCATCGCTCAAGGTAGCGATTTTATAATAATTATATTTGGTTGGTAAAAGGTTAGAGTGTTTATTGCGATGGCCTTTCCTCTTCTGTTTTGTTATTGTACCGCTCGTAGTGTATAGGCATAAGATTGACGTGTTGTAATCTATTGTTGACGATTAAAGGGTTAGTGTTAATCCGCTGTTGTGTTTATTCGCCGCTTTATCACTCCTCATCTCGACTTCGAATCTATGCGTTTAACGTGGTTTTGCTTGACGCGTTATTTAGTGGAACGTCTTTTGCTTCCCGAATCCCTAAATAAATAATTTGTGCTGACGGCCACAAGCTACCCAGACGGGAACGGTCGCATATTCTCCGTTACAAGCTATAGAAGAAATAGGACACAAAGTAATAAGCATACCTAATATTTGTGACCGAATTACAAAAATACCGCTTCCACAATTCATCGTTGAACTTGAACACAGCAGTAATAATCACGATATTTACAAAGTTAACTGTCTAATGAATACAGTAATAAAATTTGGACCTCGGAATGTGAAGAGAGAAAGATCCCGCAGTGCCAAATCTGTCAAAAATTTGGGCACACTGTTATAAAATTACTGTTATAAAAGCTTAGTTTGCGTTAAATGTGCAAAAAATCACTCAACCAAAGAATGTCCCATCAAAGAAAAAATGAAGGATGTAGTATGCGTAAACTGTCATGGAAATCATACTGTAAATCACAAAGGTTATCCGTATCGTAAACAGTTGCAACAGAGGCTTTTTTCCACACTATGCGAAACGATATTAAATTTAATTCAAAATCAAATTCTAATAAAAGAATTTACATACAAATAGCAATATAGTCAGACCAAACGTATCGTACGCCTGAGCAGCATCAAACCAAGACCAACACAACACAGAAACTACAGCGAAAGGTAGAAACAGTCAATCTGAGACTTCCTATAGCAATAATGTAAGCACAAACAACAATAGACTTGAACAGATGATGAACCAATTAATGCAAAGAATGGACACAATATTATACCTATTAACTACACTTGTAAGTAATATGTCTAAGTGAATAACTTCAAAATTGTATTTTCTTCATGACCTTCAATATAAAATTTATTACTACCGACGTCAATGTTTGGTATGGAGTTGAATGTCAGTAACTCTACTAGATCAAGTACACAGTTTTTAATTGGTATTAGTTTAATTGGCGGAAAATCCTGGAAAGTGTATTTGCCATGACGGTCGTCGAACAAATAACTTTCATTCTTAACTATACGACTTACGACTACGTCGTAACTAAGCCGACTTTTGACAGTAAGGTCTATTAGCTAGCAAATTACGCATGAAGACTCCTCGAAAATCATTAATTTTCATTAATTAAGGATATTTTTTTAATCTAGATCTGTCAATGCACGATTATGTATAAAAAAATTAGGTAAAGCTTTTTTGTTTTTAGACCTCTC